GAGCGTTTATTACTCCTTATATACAAGTTTTCAGGTCAGAGGCACACCCCTGGACCTGGTGGTAAACTGTGACAAAAGGGACACAAACCAATGGGAACACTAATTAACATGATAACACTCTCACATACACAATGAAATCCCTCCTCTCCATCCTGGAGATAATTGGCTTAAGGCACTGCAGTAAACTCAATTATCTCCAGGTACAGAAAATATCTACATTTAACACTAACAGCAAAATACGTAAAAGTACATAAAAATACATAATTCTTATTTTATTACACAGAACCCCCACATTTAACCTATCCCCAGATAGCTCGGATCTGAGCACCCAATCTAGGTGAACAGCGCTCAGATCCCATGAACAGAGTAGATTTTCCATGGGGTAAAGCATAGCAAGGGCTGTTGAGAAACCAAGGAGGGACAAAAGCAGTCAGTTCCAACTGGTTTGGCAGTGTGCCTGGGACAACGCCCTGCTGGAGAACAATAGACAGGAAACGGGGGAGGGGAAGAAACACACCTTCCCATTGATTCAAATGGGAAGAAACTGTCTTTAGAAGCCAATAAGCCCCAAATAGTCTTTTTAAATGGCAATACACCCCAGGGCCATAGTCATGAAGAAGGAGGCTGGCAATCAGGCTCCTCCAAAAGCCGGGGGCAAAGGGCAGCTTGTCACTTTACAATCCAGGGACAAAAGGCATTTCGTCACAGTGTTTCAGTGTTCCAGACGGGTGGCCGCATCTCCCGCAAGCTGGGGATATACCTGTATATATTTTGGCCAGCCTAGATGGAACCCAGTACCATCTCATCAGGATCTTACAGTTCGCCTCCCAGTCTGATAAGTTACGGGATGTGGTTTTGATGGTCTGGATTGCTTGTAGCCACATATAAAGGGGAAATGTATTGTCTAGATCTGTCTCCCAGTGGGTCATATAAGGGAGTTTATGCACTGCTTCTACAGTGGTGAGGGCATTATAACACATCGATAACAGTTTAACTTGCATTTTTTTTTTTTGCTTGTGCAGCAGAGGCCGAATGGAGTCAGTTAGGAATCGTCTCCTTCTGTTATCTGGAGTTGCGTCAGTATATCTTTTACCTGTAGGTACGTGAATATTTCCCTAGTAGGAAGGGGGAATTCTTCCTGCATTGACTGGAAGGGTTTGAGTCCTGTCACATTGTAAAGCGAACCTAAGGTAGTTACTCCCCCCTGGATCCAATTGGTGAGTGAAACATCTCGGGAGAGGGACGTATTGAAGCCCTGGACGCTGAGCTGGTTTTGCCCATCAAGCCTTGAGAACACTGTTTCAACTTTTCCAGTAGAAATGTAGTAGTTAGTAGTGTGGATCTAATAGGACCCCGTGGTGAGGAGGCTGTCCATAACATGTGTTGAAGTTTAAGAGGTTAGATGCATGCCTTTCCCAGATGAGCCATTCTGGCACATCGGGCTGAATCAGCACTGATACACCACAGGACAGAATCGAGGCTCTGTAGTGCATGTTTACATTTGCTATGCCAAGGCCTCCCCTGTTTGAAGGGAGCCAGGATAGGCGTTTCGCCACTCTGGGTGTTTTTTTTATTTTTTTTTCCAGATGTAGGCTGTTACAGAGGTCCAGTCTGTCTGCTACAACCCAGTTATTCTGATACTTTTGTTGCCTTTATTTGAACAGTATTTCAGGTCATTTGTATGTACGAATAGCCGACGAAGCGGTTCCTTGGCGTGTGCTGCCAATTAACCCCATTCACCTTGCAAAACACCGAATAAACCACAGAACGGACGACCACCCTACCTGAGGAGTGTGTCTGCAATTAACCACCCAGGAGCTGTGGTTTGCGGTTAACCGCAGTCTAATTGACTCATCAGGGTGGTCACTGTTTGTATGTAAAAGGTCGAACGGGGTACCGAAATAAAAGGTGAAATAACTCCCGTACGACAGACCACCCGGCCCCTGGCAGGTGCCCCTAGTTAACCACCTTAAAACTGCGGTTTTTGTGGTTAACCGCAACATAGTTGCTTATCGCCAGGGTGGTGGTCGATCGTATGCCGAACACGTGGCGACGGCCATCTTTTGTTGTCGAATGCCCAGCAGGACGAATCCCGCTGGGATACATCTTGCCTTATCTATTCGTGCTTGAATCCCGAAAGACATACTGTTCAACAATTTGGTATCTACGAGAACTACACTGGCCCCTGGCCTGACCCCATGGCCGAGGATATAAGGGCTGCTAACAGGCATTCATATACCATTCGTGAGATCTGAACGCTTTTTGTATATTTTGTGCGCTCAGATCCAAGCTGTGTGGGGATGGGTTGAATGTGATATTTGAACCTTATAATAGAAAAGTTATTCGTTGTTATCCTGTTTTTATGTATGTATAAAAATTTGGTTATTTCATGTACCTGGAGATAATTGAGTTACTGTAACCATTAAGACTAATTATCTCCAGGGTAGGAGGGAGTGATTTGGAAAATGCACTTTGTTCCTATTGGCTGTGACACTGTATTGCCCTGTGTACCATCAGGTCCAGAGGGGTGTTCCTCTAGCCTGAAAATATGTATTTAAAGCCGTGCGTACCCATTAAACCAGTTCTATTTTTACCCTCAACTCACAGCCTCAACTCGTGTTGTAGGGAAAGGTGTTGTACTAGCTTTGCTGATAGTTAGTGGGATTTCTACATTTCCAGGATTATTGCTGTATGCT